AAAAAGAGCAAGGATAGTGATATAGCCTATTTGGTGATTTTTTTTCCTCCTTCCATCCCACTCCACTTCTGTGAACCATCTGTGGTAGATTAGACTATTATTTAGCAAATATCCACTCTAGCATCCCCAAGAGAAAAATACACTTCCCCTCTCCAGTGATGTTAGGCTTGGCTCTGTGTCTTGCTTTGGTCTCAAGCTGGGTATAGTATACTACCCACCCATGCCTTTGGGCACAATCATAATGATACTGTTGTAAATAACCTGGTTATTAATTAACAGGGAAGGAGCAAAGGAAAGGCCAAATAGACACATGCCTAGTAAAGTCTGGATGAAATAGGGAAGGTACCCGTCTGTCAGTCCCACCTGGGAACAGGTCATTGGCCAAAGTAAGCATGGCCGCTGCAAGTGAGGGAAGATTTCAGATATGTCAACTCCTAAACCAAAAAGGTTTACTCTCTCTTGTGTGCTGGGCTCCTGGCTCCCTTGCTGTAGAGGGCATGCTCCCCTGCATTTGTCCACATGGCCACACACAATGGACTATAACTAGCCTGGTGTTACATTGGACCCAGCTCCACAACAGAATGGACACTCTGGACACTGGCTTTGCTTCCAGCTCAGCTACAACACTTTCAGGACTGGCTTAAGGGAAATGGGACTTTTGAAACCCAGGGATGTAACTCCACACAAATACAGATCATTCATCCTCCCATGCCAGTCTTAGAAAATTCTTTTTTTCAAGATACCATAAGAACCCGACCGCAAGCACCCAGTGGAGAAAGGGATCTCCCACTTCCACTGGTGGACTGTTTTCTACCCACTTCCATCAATAACAATATGACTTGCTTTGGTCAATGAGATCTTAGCAGATGTGGCACAAGCAGACACTTGAACTGTGCTGTGTAGTAGGTAGGCCTTGCCTTCTTGTACTTCTGCTGTTGCCTTGAGAAGAGCTTACCCTGGGTCCCTTCAGTCTGGCCCCAGAATAAGACATGCAAAGCAAAATTCCTCTAGCTGATCCACAGATCTATATCTTGAAGCAGAGCCTTGAGTGCTCTAAGGCACTGAGTTTTGAGGGAGTCTGTTATATAGTTATCGTAATTGTTTTTAAATAAAACTTACAAGTCCAGAATCCTTTATCTGAAACCCTTAGAACTAAATGTGTTTAGAATTCATATTATTTTTCAGGTTTTATAAAGTAATATGATGCAAGTACCATCTATCTATCTATCTATATATATACATATACATATATATATATATATACACACACACACATATACATACATACATACACACACTAATAAAAGAGAAACATGCAAAATGGTGTCACTCCGCTACGCCCACCAGCCAATCAGAGGACTATGCAAATTAACCCAACAAAGATGGCAGTTAATTTGCATATGCAGGCGCGGAGCAAAGACTGAAGAGTGAAGAGTGAAGAGTGAAGAGTGAAGAGGCTTGGCTTCTCTGCTGCAGCCACAGCGAAGAAGCCAAGCCTCGCTACGGCCAGACTAAAGGCCTGGGTCCCTGGTGCAGGAGGAAAACCAGTGCCAGTAGCCAGGGGAAGGAAGGCCTATTGTGCAAATCTTCATGCAACAGGCTTCAAGTATATATATAAAAGCCTAAGCGACCGGCCGACCATTCGATCAGTAGCTATGACGGGCACTGACCACTAGGGGGCAGATGCTCAACACACAGGCATGGAAACACGAAACCGACTGATGAATCTCAGATGGATTCGTGCACAGGTGGGGTCCCTGGGCCTGGCCTGCAGGGATCGGGCCAAAACCGGCTTTCCGACATCCCCCAAGGGGTCCCAGATAGCAAGAGGGCACAGGCCAGGCCAAGGGACCCCACCAGTGCACCAGGCCTCTAGTATGTTTTATAATGGCCTCTTGGGGTCTTACACCCACAATATCAAACACATTAATAAATATGTAGTAAAACATATAAGTAACCTTAAATTACACAAACAGGTTAAATATCAAATGAGTTATGAAAAGCCTTTCAGTTTTTTCAGGGACTTTTGGATTTCAGAATTGTAGATATGGAGCTATCTTATCAATATTTGTATAATTATAAAGAATCAGCTATAGTCTGTTTGGCTCAGTGGATAGAGCATCCGCCTATAGACTGAAGGGTCTCGGGTTCAATTCCAGTCAGGGGCACATGCCCAGTTGCTGGCTTGATCCCCAGTAAGGGGCATGCAGGAAGCAGCCAATCAATGGTTCTCTCTCACCACTGATGTTTCTCTTTCTCTCCCTTCCTCTCTAAAATCAATAAAAATATATTTTTTAAAAAGAATCTCTCCACCCCCCCAAAAAAAAAACCATTTAATTTCAATAACTCTACATAGAAGATATGATTACCCTGAGTCATTGTCTTAAATTCACTGTGGAAATGGGGAGAATACAATTTATCTTTAATGGGGGAAAAAGACTACTTATATCTAATTAATTTGTAAATCATTGGCTATTCAACAAAGCTTGCATTCTCTCTTTTGCCTTATTTAGATCAACTTAAGAAACTTAAGAAACTGTGCAAACTAAACATTATACCCTTTAATCAACACTTATTGGGTTTCTTCTACATACCCAGACACTGTGAAAGGTGCTGGGGATGCTACTGAATCCAATAACGCTTCTGTTTACTTAAAGAGCTTACTTTCTAGAGGGAAAGACAGACAAATATCTTTTTATATTAATTACATGTTGAAATCAAAATGTTTTAGATGTCATGAGTTATATAAAATGTTATTCAAATTAATTTTACCTATTTCTTTCTGCCTTTCAAAATTTGTTTATTAGAAAATTTAAAATTAACATTTGAAACATTTGAAACTCACTTTATCTTTTTATTGGACAGTGGTGCTCTAAATCTTCAGTTCTTTCTGATACACCAGGCCTAATGCTGACAATCCCTGACAACCCCTTCCTTCCTGGGGCTTCCCTCCCTTCCTCAGCTTTTGTGACACTGAACTAACCATAGAGGTTTTCCTCCCACCACTCCGTTCTCCTGAGCTGGCGGGCTCCTCACTCTTCCACCCCTAAGTGTAAGTGTTCCTGAGGGTGTGCCTGGGTCTCCTGGTCCCTCCCTCTCCTTATGTGTCTCATCCACTGCTTCAACACCAACTCAAAAGTCTAAGTGACTCTCATGTTTACAGCTCCAGGCCTGCCCAAAGGACTTCCTCATCTTCCTCTCTACAATAGTGCTTTGCTCCTAACTTCCTTATTTGTGTCATCAGCTCTCCCATTTTCGAAACTTAAGTGTCCTTGTGAACTTGACACTTTATTCCTTGCTCAATCGGCTGCCATGTCCTGTTCATGGTTTTTCTTTCTTTCTAAGCCTCTGCTACCACCAAAGATCAAACTCTCATTATATCTCCTTTGATTATGCAAAGTCACCTCAATTCTCTTATCCCTTCTAGCCCCAACTACCAGATTAATGTGCCTAAAGAAAGCTCTGACAACAGTGCCACACTTTCAAATCACCTTCCAAATCTGCCTGGCATCTAACACATGCCGGACAAGCAGTATTAGGGGTCTTCGAAAGGTTTTTCAGTATTTTTATCTGCAAGAAGTCTCACCCTGTAATAGTGGAAGAGTACTAGCCAAGGGAACCTGGAGAGGGAGGAAGAGAACTACATAAATTTTGGTAACTTTTCTGCTAGGATGATTCTCAGAGACCAACTCCAATCCTCAGGTTCTCGGCAAATGGAAATTCATGCAGCCATTAACTTAAAATCCAGCAGTAAATGGTGTCCATTCGGAAGAAAGGATACCCAGAACTGTGGGGACTTTCTACCCAAGAACCAGGAGTGGTAGAATGGAAAACTAGATGACAGGTGGCACCTCTACAGTCTATTTATTTATTTTTTGTGGGGGGAGGGGAGGATCCATGCACTCAATATAGACCTATTTTTTCATTGTTAAAGGGTTATTAAACGTGGGTGGGGGTGGGGCTTAAGTTGGTTGAACTCTGCCAATGATTTAAGGAAAACTGAAATAGGCTTTTGCAGGTGACTGAAATTAGCCAAATGCAACAGGATCCAATCTACTTTCCCATTTTATCTTCCTTCGTAACAGTCACTTAATGTTCAGGCTGGATCACTGGACAGGAAGATCCAGAGGACCCCTGTTTGTCGAACACCCTACGGTCACAATGTCCTCCCCACTTCGACTCCAAGGGTGCAAGCCTTCCCACTGCAAAAGATAATGCAAATAACAAGATCCCCTTCAGCAGATGTGATCTCTACCTGCCTCAAACGCCAACCAATGTATTTGCCTTTACAATGTGCTCTGCCTTATAGTTATTTGCACACTATGCATACTATCTCCCATAGTAAACCTTGGACACGTTATTCATCTTGTTCAAAGCAGACAAATGATGCTTTTAACTTTATCATTAATTTCCTACAAAAGGAAAACAATCTGAGCGGGAAGAAAACACAAACATGTAAGGCACAGGCAAGGCATCGGACATACATGCCTTGGGACAGTCCGATCAAGGCAAACGCATCACACCCTGCTTTCCGCTTCGAACGTGAGACATGAGGAACTTTTTTAACCCCGAGTGCCACTCGCCTCCCCTGGACCGGGACAGTCGGCATGAGGCGTGGAGTTTCCTCCGTTGCTCAACCTGGCCGGGCGCTACGCGCTTCCCCTTTCTCCGGCTCCACTGGTCAGGACGGCCAATCCCGGCCGCGGCACCTGCGCCCTCAGACATCTCCGAGAAAGCAGCACTTCCGGACCGAGGCTCCGAAGGTCTCTCTTCCACCCGACCGCACGCTGCGCCCCGAACCCGAGAAACGGGCAGCCCCCCTTTACTTGCCACACGGGGTTCCAGTGTCCCCGCCCTGCCGCGCCCCGCTCCCCATCCTCCAGGACGCCGGCTCCGCGGCCGGGACGGCGACAAAGGGCCGGCCGAGCCTGCGGCCGCCCGTATCGACACTGGATGAGGGGCGCCTTCCTCTCTCCCTGGACACCCCATCACGCACCTACTTCCTCCTCGCCGCCGCCTCCTACGACCGCCCGCAGCCGAGGTTCCTTCGCGAGCAGCGCCTGTTTTGTTTCCGATGTGAAATCTCGGCCTCAGGAGCTGCCCGGCCCAGGCCCCGCCCAAAAGGCTTCACCGCTGTCGTCATTTCCGGTTCTGGCGTCGTTGGGGGCTGGCCCGCAGACGGAGGGGTGGGCTCTAGAGGGAGCAGGGACGAGACCAAAGGGGCGGGGCTTCCGGTGGTGTGGGCGGGGATTGTCGGCGTGGGGGCAAAGCCTGCGCTCTAGCCGGCCTGGGACCTGGACGAACTCGCCTGGAGTGTCCTCATGAGTCGAGGTAGTCTAGGATCCGAGACAGGTCGTGAGCCGGGCCAAAGTTTCTGCGTATATTGACTGGGCCCAGTGTGTGTCCTCCAAGCCAACAAGTTATGGCATCGTAAACCGAAAGTTTCTTTCATTCTCTGTATTACCTACGGGGTCTCTCAATGTGAATCAGCTGCACCAGTCAACAGGGTGCTAATTAAAATTGTAAATGCTTGTGCCTTCTCTTTCCTCATTGAATCAAAACTTCTGATGGGTGAAGCAAGCCTGAGAAACCTCATTTTAAACAAATGTCTGGGATTCTCGGGATCCAAATTAAGAACCAGTCTTCCTAAATGGTAAGCTTCCAGAAAGCAGGAAATGGCTTATTTTTGTAATCCCGAAACCTAAGAGTATCTGGCACACAATGAGTTGCTCAAAGGTCAGCTACCACTAATGTGTGATGTGGCAGACTTGGGAGTGTCTTTAATTCAAACAACATGGCTTGAGAATGTTTACTCATTTTTGTTTATAGAAATTACTAGAGGCCTGATGCACGAAATTCATGCAAGGGGCTTGGTCCCAAAGGTCGGCCATCCGGTCTAATTAGCATATTACGCTTTTATTATTACAGATCTTTCCTTACTGTGCATTTTAGATTGCCAATTTCTAATTTGGCCTTTATGAGTCAAGTAATAAAATGAAAAATGAGTATCTGTTAAAGATGAAAATATAAGCATTCAAATGCAAATAAACATTTCAATAATTTAACGTTTTTAAAAATCTACCCGTTTATCAATAATTATAAGCTAAAAAAATAATTATAAGCTCACTTTGGTCTAAAGCAGTGGTTCCCAAACTTATTTGGCCTACCGCCCCCTTTCCAGAAAAAATATTACTCAGCCCCTGGAAATTAATTTTTTTTAAATTTTAATAGCAGTTACTCATCGCCCCCAAATGCACCTGTGGCCATCACCGCCCCCCTGGATCGCTGCAGCGCCCACCCGGGGGGCGGTAGCGCCCACTTTGGGAATCACTGGTCTAAAGTATGAAAATAACAGTTCCTGGGTTTGAAATACATATATCTGAATTCCGTTTTCTTCTTGTCATCTAGACTGTTTCTTTGCCTATTTAGGATTCCTTCTCATATCCTTTATATCCAGTAGTACTCACAAATCAATTTCACCATCTACTGCTGAGCAAAAGCTATCTCTCAATTTTATACTATTAATAGAAGGCTAAAATATGACCAGGAAAAATTTTGACATAAAACCTTTCAGCAGTTTCTGCATAGATGTGAAAACATTTATAGAACTCATTAGAAAGAACCGGGTAAATAAGCCTCATATACACATTAGTATACCTACCTGGCTTACATTTACTTGCATTAAAAAAAAAGTTATACTCCATATGAAAGAAGAAAAAAATAAGTTTAGTACACTTTGACTTTCAAACTGAGTTTCCTCACTTTGTCCACCATGTCTAGTATCTGTGCCTGAAGAGTACCTGAAACAGCACTCTCCACTAAGCAATCGTTAGCTTCTACTATTACATAGTTTATCAGAAAGCACTATGACAAGATTCAAATTAACAACATAAAGTTCTCTAAGGAGGAAATGTTCTGGGACTGGCTAGGAATGAAGCCTATTAGAGTTGTTCTCAGCCAACATTTTTGCAAGGGATTACTTTACATTCATGAACATACAGAATAGGTATGTTGATTTGCCTCAAAAATGTTTTCCTTTTAAAAATCTACTTAAAAGGCCCTTGCTGGTTTGGCTCACTGTATAGAGCGTCAACCTGCATACTGAAGGGTCCCAGGTTCAATTCCAGCCAAGGGCACAGGCCCAGGTTGTGGGCTCCATCCCCAGTAGCATACAGGAGGCAGTTGATCAATGATTCTCTCATCAATGATGTTTCTATCTCTTCCTCTCCCTTCCTCTGAAATTAATAAAAATATGATCTTAAAATCTACTTAAAAAGAAAATAAAGCTGCATTTATGTAGTGTTAGGATAAAATACTGGTACTGAGTAGATACCTTAAACTGCTAATGAAAGTGTAGTCCTTGGATGATTTAGCATTCACATCATCATTGACTTCAGGCCCCACCCTACTACTAAGTCAGAGTCTGCACTTTAACAAGATTCCTCCAAGAGATGCAGTGCACATTAAAGTTTGATCTTAAAAAAAGTCAGCCCTGGCTGGTGTGGCTCATTTGGTTGAGTATTGTCCTGTACACCAAAAGGTTGCAAGTTCAATTCCGGTCAGGGCACAAGCCCAGGTTGCAGGTTTGGTCCCTGGTCAGGGTGTGTACCAGAGGCAACCAATTGATGTGTCTCCCTCTCTCCTCCCTTCCTCTCTCTAAAAAAAAACCAATAAAAGTACATTTAAAAAAAACTTAAAATAACTTTTCCTCCTATAAATAGACATACATGTTTTTTAAATTATTTTATGTATATGGTCAAATGAGGAAAAAGCGTGTTGGTTTTTTAACTGCCTTTTTTAAAAATATTTTTTATTGATTTTAGAGAGGGATAGAAACATCCATGATGAGAGAGAATCATTGATCGTCTGCCTCCTGCACGCCCCCTACTGGGGATCTAGCCCATAACCCAGGCATGTGCCCTTGGCTGGAATCGAACCTGGGACCCCTCAGCCCCCAGGCTGACGCTCTATCCACTGAGCCAAACCGGCCAGGAATTACCTGCCTTTTTTATATCTGGAATGGGCAATATGAATCAAGCAAGGTTTCCAAACTGAAATTCAATTATGGGCAAATGGTAAAGACGACCCAGAAAGCTCAAGCAATTTAGTAGAAATTTTATGTGTATTCTCCCAAACACTTAAATACCCCAGCAGTTTATACATGTCCAATTCTTTACATGTAAATCTGAAAAACTTAAAGTTTAAGCTTGGTGGCAAAACCTGACTTAACTGACAGTAAGCTATTAATGTAATGATCTTTAACCTAGTGACTGATCATTCCTGCTCTGCTGCAGAAATGTTAATGTATGAACTTGGATTCTGAGGCAAATCTCTCTGGAGTTGTTATGCAGTATATGGTATGTGTCCCCAAGGGTTTCAGATATGGGCCTCTTAAGATAAATATAGTGAAAGAGCAAGAGCAAAAGAAATTAATACCAATGTTGACTAAATAAAACAGCCAATATGATGCCTTAGAAGTGGTAATATGGTAAGAGAAAATAGGCATAATGAAGCTCAAACAAGATGTTAGGCTGAGGGTCAATCTGAGAAAAAGCTAGTAAATGAATTTGTAAATTTCATGTTTCTGAAATTTTCCTTGAGAAACCAGAATTTAAAATATTGTAACACTAAAAGGGGATATCTCCATAGACGTTTAGATTAATCCAAAATAAGGTAAATGGTCTCTTTGACCTTTAGTTACTAGTAATACTCAAAGAAATCAATTCAACCCATAATTTCAAGTTTCTAATATGCACCGCACAATTACAACATGTCACTTACTTAATAAGACTGAAAGAATGAGTCCCCGAGATCAAATATATACATTTTTAATATCTGAAATATTTACATAAGGGAACCATGTCATGGTTCAATGTTAAGAACAGTGTTTTCAAATGTCCTCTTAAGATGTAAAAAAAAAAAAAAAAAATCTAGTAACTCAAGCTCAGTTAGGCTTTATCTTCCTATTCCCAATCTTCATCTTTAAATAAATACTTAGACATGAAATAGCTGCACCTACTTTATATTTAGAACTGTTTAAAACTTGTTATATTTTCGAGTAATTTTGCTCCCTGGTGAAGTTCTGATGTACAATAAAGAAAGCCCCATGTGTGTCTCCAACACCATCAATGTATTTTTAAACTTTGATGAGCAGAGGTAAACAAGGTGTGTGCTTACACACACACAAACTATAAAGCCTTTACAAAACAAAAAATTAGTGGTAACTGCCTTAAATGATGTACTTTATCCTTAAAAATAAGATGTAAACTTATAAAATGCCATGCTGAAATTCTATTGTATTTTGTCAAACTTTCCTAGTCTGTAAAATTGCCTAATTTTATCTTTTGTTTTTAAAAAGTATTTTTCATTTATGCTTTTAATTTTTTTTTAAGCAAAGGGGCACACCAAAATTAAACTAAGGACCAATCAGTGCAATCTAAGGATCTGCCTCATTTCTGAACAATGAGATTGGGGAGGGAGAGGGGAACCACTGATTCACACTCCCATAAAAGAAGGGCTGAAGCAGCCAGCTATCAACAGGAAAACCCCATTCTGTTCAACAGACTGTTTCTTGCCGTAAGAGAATAACATGCTCTGGGAGACTATTAACCTAATTATCCCAGACATTTGGATTGGCACAATACCATGTTTCCTTTACAATTATATTTTTCAATTAGAAAATGTTCAAGGGAGCCCTCCAAAGCAAATTAGGGAAAATACTTTTATATATACATTCACACAAACACATTTATACAGAGATACAGTAGGAATGGATGGTCTCCTAATTTTCACACTCTAATTTTAAATTTCATGCCTTCATGAAAGCCTGCCAATTCTGATCAAGGGGGTATGGGTAATAGATGTGGGCTGGTATTCTTTCTATTAAAATTGTTCATGTTGGTTCCTGTACAGTACAGTTCAATATTAAGTGCAATTCTGCAAAAGAATCGGGGAGTCATTTTAATATTTACAAGGAACAAATCAGCAGAACAAGATTATATCAGATAGGCTGTGTACAGTAGCTGTGGCTTATAAAACATACCAGTAATTTGTACCTGGTGAGTATAAAGAGAACCAAGGTAGGATTCAGATGTCTTTACAACCAAGGGAGTACACAGGGAATCAACAAATTGGAGGACAAAAAAAAAAAATTCACATTTTCTACATTTAAAAAAAATTACAGATCTCACAAATGTCTTTGAAGACAAAAAAATTTTTCAAAGTCCTTTGAAGGATGGGAAAGATGATATCTGAAATGGAACTCTCAATGTACAGAGTTTTACTTCACAAGACCAATTTTCTTGGCTTCTGTTTCATATATCAATAATCTCCACATTTTGACTATAAAAACTTCTGCTTCTTCATCAAGTACCTAGGAGAAAAAAAAAAGAGCAACATATGTAAGATAAGCAATCAGCATCTCCCAACAATAGTGACTGCTATAAAAAGGGCTTTTACCCACTGACAAACATTTACTTTCAATAAAATGACAAAGGAAATCTGTCTAGTGTGAGAAATGTAAATTACAAAAATGCATTCAGCAAAATTCCATGGCTTACTAAATACTGACACCACAGTATTTTCTTGGTGCAACTTTTATTCTAACTTTTATCTTTACAAATAGTACATTTAGGCATGTTTTGAAAAACTATATCCTAAGGGAAGCAAATGTTTTTTTTATAACAAATACAGTAATTTAGGCAGAACTAGTTGTACAAGTACTTAATAACTTTAATACAGAGTATCACATTTACCTCCCCAAAACAATATTAGCATCTTAATATTTATGGAGTCCTTATGTATGTGACATTGAATTAAATATTAAATGAGAATATATGTAAGGTATTTAATACAGTGTCTGAGATACAATAAACAGAGGAAGTGAAAACTGTCATCATTACAAAGGAACACAAGACTAGTGAATAAATTAAAGGTCATATCCCCTTGACAAATAAACAAATCAAATTATCTTCCTATCTACATGAGTTAGGTGCACCATGTCCTCCTCAGTACCCCTGCCCTCATCCCACACATGTAGTCAGTCAGTCAGCCCTCCACACCAGAGCTGTAGTGAAGTAAAATGGAGTATCATGCTTCCTTCTATAGCAGGCAGCTGTGACTAAGCTTCAGGGTGTCACTGCCATGGTTTGTAGAATAATGTTACTAGTTTAGATTAGGAGTTAAGCAAAACGGACCTCTAGTCAGACTACTTGGCTTCCAATCCCACTTCTACCTCTTACTAAAGAACCTCTGTTCTCTCATCTATGAAACGAAGAAAACAGTAGCTACACCACACTGATTCATAATTTAAAATTCTATTATGTACAAAGTGCTTTGAAGAATGCTTAAAGTGATCAGTAAATGCGTAAGAGTAGCCAGAAATGTTGACGTTTGAAACATTTCCCTAAATTTACTAATGATGACAAACTTTTATTCAAACTTTTATGAGCCAGACTTGACCAGCAGTTCAAGAAAACTATGCTACAACCCTAATTATTATGGAAATAGTACCTTGGAAATACAGATAGAGGCACAAAATGCAACCAAAGTTCATTAATTTATGTAAAATGAGGAAAGGCACAGTTTGAAAAAGTCCTATTTTTAATAAGAAAAAAAAATACTACTTGAGCTAAAAATTGAATCTTTTATACAAGAAATAGAAGGAACCATGAGCTTTCAAAAAACTGGTTGGCAACACTAGCTGATTGGTTTCCTTCCTCCCACTGTGATCAACAATGAACAGGAAATAATCAAACCATATAAATGATTAACCAGTAAAGAGTCTAACACCACCTAGTCGGTTTGGTTCAGTGGGTAGAGTGTCAGCCTGTGGACTTAAGGGTCCTGGGTTCAATTCATATCAAGGGCATATACCACGTTTGCAGGCTCAATCCCCGGCCCCACTTGGGCATGTGTGGGAGACAACTAATCCATGTGTCTCTCTCACATCAATGTGTGTCTCTCTCGTCTCTCCCCCTTCCCTTTCTACTACCTCTAAAAATAAATGGAAAAATATCCTCAGGTGAGAATTACCACACACACCCCCCCCACCAAAAAAAGAGTCTAACATCATACTTCAAATATTAAAATGAATTAACACTGACACATGGCATCCTCACTTACAAGTGATTACAACTCTACCAAGAACAAAAACTAGAACACTGCCTGACTGGTGTGGCTCAGTGGTTGAGTATCAACCTATAAACCAGGAGGTCATAGCTCAATTCCTGGTCAGAGCACATGCCCAGGTAGCTGACTCAATCCCCAGTGTGGGGCATGCAGGAGGCAACTAATCAACGACTCTTACTCATCATTGGGGTTTCTAAACTCTCTCTTCCTCTCTGAAATCAATAAAAATATATTTAAAACAAAACAAACAAAAACCCAACAAACCAATAAAAAAAATATATATTTTTAAAAAAATCCCTTTAAAAAAATCCCTCTGCCCTGGCCAGGTGACTGAGTAGGTTGGAGCATCATCCTGTATACCTAAACATTATGGGTTCGATTCCTGGACAGGGCATACTTAGGTTGTAGGTTTAATACTGAGTTAAGGTGTACATGGAAGGCATATGTGGGAGGCAGCCAATCGTCGTTTCTCTCTCACATAAATGTTTCTCACCCCCTTAAAAAAAAATTAATAAAAACGTGTCCTCGTGCCCTAACCAGTTTGGCTCAGTGGATAGAGCGTCAGCCTGCGGACTGAAGGGTCCCAGGTTCGATTCCGGTCAAGGGCATGTACCTTGGTTGCAGGCACATCCCCAGTAGGCACATCCCCAGTAGAGGATGGTCGATGTTTCTCTCTTATCGATGTTTCTAACTCTCTATCTCTCTCCCTTCCTCTCTGTAAAAAATCAATAAAATATATTAAAAAAATCAATAAAATATATTTTTTTTAAAAAGTGACCTCAGGTAAGGATTTAAAGAAAAAAAAAATTACATCACTCTGCCCCAGAAAATCTGTCCCACTGCCATATTAGGCACCCCGCCATCATCTGAACTGATTCACTACTTGTATTCATATATATACATATATATATTTTTAATTGATTTCAGAAAAAGAAAGGGAGAGGGATAGAAACACCAATGATGAAAATATTGGGGATCGAGCCAGCAACCACAGCATATGACCCCACCAAGAATCGAACCGTGACCTCCTGGTTCATGGGTCAATGCTCAACCACTGGCCAGGCCACTACTTGTATTCTTAAACATTCTACTCTCTGTAACTTTCCAGTTTTTTTATTCCAATACACTTCCCACCAGTCCAGATTCAAATTACCAGCTCTATTCCAATAGTTTTGCCTTTTCCTCCTACTTTGGGGTTCATAAACCATTCAATCACTCTCTATTACCTTTACCATCAATATATTTCCTCCTCCTTTTTCTCACAAAACCACAATATTAGATAAATGCAATCACTGACTCTACTGTAATATCCAAATTAAATGCAAATGGGAATTTGGTATTTACTTCCAACATTACCTGTCCAAATGACAACACATCCATACAATCTTCAAGTCTCTATTTAGATGGTTAATTCCTGTGATGCTTTCCCTACCTATTCTCAACACCATCAGATGTTCTATCTCCTCTGCCCCTTTTTACATATCCTCATCATAGCAAGTATATTACATTATTGGTATACCTGTCTTCCTGATAGTTCAAGGGCAGATGTCCCACCTTATTATGCTTCTAACACATTGCTCTACCAAGTAAGCACTCAATAAATGTACTCTAAAGGTATTAATAGGTCCAGAACTTACATGTATACCCACAAACATGAAAAGTGGAAGAGGGGAGAGACTGGTAAAAAAACAAAACAAAACCCAACTTTCATGTTGTCTAATCATATATTGTTGTGGGTGCCTTAATCTTTTAATAAATTCAAATTTGAACTTAGGCTTATAAAGAGATTCTGGACCAACAAAGTTAAAAAAATCAATCAAATACAGAAGTTAATTTGTTCACATAGATTTTTTAAAAATATATTTATTGATTTCAGAGAGGAAGGGAGAGGAAGAGAAAGAAACATCAATGATGAGAAAGAATCATTGATCGGCTGCCTCCTGCACTTCCCCTATTGGGGATCAAGCCCGCAACCCAGGCATGTGCCCATGACCAGAATCGAACCCAGGACTCTTCAGTCCACAGGCCCATGCTCTATCCACTGAACCAAACCGGCTAGGGCTGTTCATATAGATATTAATTAAAATATTAGTAACAGCCTTAGCCGTGTAGCTCAGTTGGTTAGCGTATCATCTCAATACACCAAAGGCTGTAGGTTTGATCAGGGCACATACAAGAATCAATCAATGAATGCATATATAAGTGGAACAAGTCGTTGTCTCTCTCTCTCTCTCTCAAATCAATAAATTAAAAAATGTATTAATAAGCCCAGCCGGTGTGGCTTGTTGGTTGAGTGTTGGCCCATGAACCAAGAGATCACAGTTTAATTCCAGGTTAGGGCACATGCCTGGGCTTCAGGCTACATCCCCAGTAGGTGGCATACAGGAGGCAGCCGATCAATGTTTCTCTCTCAGGGATGTTTCTATCTCTGTCTCCACTCCTCTCTCTAAAATCAATGAAAATGTATTTTAAAACATACATACATAAATAAATGAATGTATTAATAACACTGAATTTCTAACTTACCATGGCAACATCATCTAAAATGCTCTGAGGTGAACTATGAGCCATAACCTAAAAGAAATAAAAAATTATAATTTTGAAAAATAAATGAAAACCTACCAACCAAAAAAGCAAGAGAGTCAAGTAATTTTAAGATACTTTCAAACTAGTATGGGAATTTCTTGTGGATGAAGAATCTTTCTATAAATTTCTTAATTCCCCAAATCCCACTCTCTGGAATGGAAATTTGACACCATAACTTGGGCCCTTAATCTCTATAGTATCTGTCTTCTATTTCAAATCCAGTCTTACAAGTTTTAATGCTACAATAATTATAACTGTAAAGGGCAACCTAAATCTGCTACACCTAAAGTTAAAATAGGGAGAAAAATAGCATTTTCTTAAATGTAATTAGTTATTAGTTATTCCTTTATAGAAATATGGTACTTCTACTGTGATGTCTCAGGGGATACTTGTAACTTACACTTTTCTAAGGTGGGTTTCAAGAAGATTGGGGGAGTTTAAAGAGGATATCCACCACATAGTAATCAATCAATAAATTCTAGAGGCCCAGTGCATGAAATTCATGGACAGGTAGGGACCCTAGGCCTTGCCAGGGATCAGGGCCCATCGGGGCCAGGCCAATCGATTGGGGTCTGCCGGCCGGGGGGAAGAAGATGGGGGAAAGAGACTGCGGAAGTTTGGACATTGGCTCCAGGAGGGAGCCAGTCCTCGGCCTCCCTGGGAAAGGGGCCGCCCGCGAGGCAACGGTCACCGGGCTGGGCACAGAAAGAATGTACACTGGACACCGCCATCCCGGTTCCCCGCCTCCCCCCTCCTCCTTCCCTCACTGCCACCCCGCCACTGCAATGGCCTGGGGTGGGGAGGGTGGGACGACAAGGTGTGGAAGGTTGGCCACTGGCCCCAAAGAGGGAGCCAGCAATTGGCCCCTTGGGAAAGGGGCCGTGTCCACCACCACCCACACCCAGTTCCCTGTCCCAGCCCAGGGTTCAAAGGCCTCAGCGGGGTCAGGAGCCAACAGTCACCGGGCCAGGCGCAAAAGGAACAAACGCCAGACACCAATCCCCCCCATCGGCACCCTGCACCTTGTGGTTCCTGCCTCCCCACCATGCTGCCACCAGGGCCTGCCAGCGGGGGGGGGACAAGGGGAGGGACTGCGGGAGGTTGGCTGGCCGGGAGAGCTTGGCTGTGGGCACCTCGTGCATTAAGAGTCTGCCCTCTGGTGGTCAGTGCGCATCACAGTGACCAGTCGTTCTGTCATAATGGTCACTTAGGCTTTTATATATAGAGATTATGCTGTGACGCAAACTATTTTGCTCCTCCTCCAAAGGATGCATGACTGACAAAGAAACTGATAAGACAAGCTATCAGCTATCTCCACAACACCTCAACTGTACTTCAATACCATTCTAACCATTAAGACAAGAAAGGGGTGGGGCAAGACATTCTCAGAGGGCAGGGAGAGAGCAAAATTGGCAGCAACCAGCAATTCTATCCTCTTTGACCCTTTGAAATGAAAGCATGCAGCCTAGGGGTCTGAAATAGGGTGGAGGGATTCATTTAAGTAGCCATGAATCTCTTAACTGAAAATAAACTATCATGGACTTAACCCTACAAGATATTATATTTTCAAAAACGTCCAACATTTTAAAGTATGAAACAAATGTTGCGGATGGAGAGAGAAAAAGACTAACCTTAGAACAAACAAAATCAACTAATGTAGCTTCTTCTTCACCTATGTATTCTATAATTTTCTTATTAATCCAAGGTCTAATTCGTCGTTCCATCAATATCTGAAAAATAAAGTACAGTTACTAAAGTAAAGAAAATTTTTATTACACTTAAAAAAAGTCTACGAACTTATGGTTTTTTCATAACATTAAAATATAATCTTTCACACTAGGAGAGGTATATATCAAGATATATTTACTTCTAATTTATGAAGACTTCAAGTACCACCACTAATTTCCCCAATAATTTACTAAATTCTCAGCAGTCAAGATTCCAGCTACATTATCATCACTACTTGTCATTAATGGCATCAACTGAATTTGTATGCTATAGTCAAAACTACTTACAATAAAATGGTGAAATACAATTTACTACTCACAGAGTCCACAATAGACCAATCCAGGGGATAAGCAAAAAGCTCAGGTTTGGCTGTAGGGATTTTCTCAATGAGACTCTTAATGTGTTTGCGCTTTTCTTCAGTGTTTACGGTGCCTTTGGCAGCATTTTTATCATCTTCACCATAATCCAAGGGAACCAGTTTCCTTTTTCGGGGTACATCATCACTGTCTTCATCCTCAAATTTGTTAAAGACACTATCTACAGGGAGTTTCTTTCTCTTCACAGAATTAGGTTGACCAGGACTATTGGAAGCACCTATAGTAAAAACACTCTATTAGCATGATGACTTTATTTTGAAATGTTACATTTTATAACCCACCATCCCCTCAAAAACAGTGCAAAATATAATTTCACAAGTCTCAGAGAAAGATCCCAACTGTAAAAAATAACTCACTACTCACAAGTGCTAGAAAATTTAACTTTTCATTTCTTCTCAGAACTCGAGGCAGCTGCAGATATAGGAGCACTAGTAGAACTATGAAAACAATAGTGAGCTAGAAAGGCATTTTCGAATTTTTTCTATCTACCTACCAAGCAGCACATATTTATTTTTCCTTAAGGCAAAATTCAGGAGTTTGAAGAGGGAAAAATAAAGACAAAGGAAATAAATGCTAACATACCCAGTTTAAGACTCAGTCCTATTTTTGGCCTATGCTCCTCAGGTTGTTGTTGATCTGGCGAATTTTCATGAGGAATAATAATACCACAGGGAGACTCATCCCCAGGAGTGTTGGGGGTTGCATTGCCACTGGCAGAGGAAACAGATGGGGCAGAACTGATGGGCCTCAGAGTTGGTTTAAGACAGGGCTTCTGCTCTGGCTCTTCTTCCTCTTCCACGGGTTCCTCTCGTTTTTCTTCTTTTTCTTGCTTTTCTTCTTCCTCTTCCTCTGATTCTGGTTCTTGCTTTATTTGTGGTTGTCTGCGCCTCTCAGCCTCTTGTTCCATCTAAAAGAAAAAAATAATCTAACTCAGACCACAACTATACTCAATTCAACTGGCTTTTTGTTTTGTATCTATAATGAAAAAAGCATAATATGCTAATTTGACCGGATGTCCTTCCAGACAAAGCCACAGTGGGGAGGGATGAAGCAGAGGTGGCAGAGGGCGCCGCCCCCCCCGCCCCCCGCTGTGGCAGCAGTGGGGGCCAGGGCCAAGGCCCTTGCATGAATTTCGTGCATCAGGCCTCTATCTTTATAAAAATCTTTTTTTTTTCATTAGGAATAGTGGAAAACATTGCTCACTTCTATAATCAGAAAGCTAAGTAAATCTGTAAAGTAGATGAGATACTTCGAAAATTTAAAAAAAGATTTTACAAATATTCTTCAGTGGTGTTATATAAAACTTCAGACTAACAAAGGTAAATACATAATAAATAGCTCACTAATTCAAAATGAAAAGTATGTTTTTATAATTTCATTAAGGACATTATAACCAGAGTCCTGGCTGGGTGACTCAATTGGTTCGAGTGTCATCCCATACACCAAAAAGATCGCTGGTTCAATTCCTGATCAGGGCACATAACTAGGTTTCGGGTTGAATCCCCATTCAGGGTGGGTGCAGGAGGCACCCAATTGATGTTTTTCTCTCTCTCAAAAAAAAAAAAATTTTTTTTTTCAATAAAAAATGTGTCCTTGGGTAAAAATTAAAAAAAGAAAAATAAACTATAGCCAGAAGTTTTTGTTTTGTTTTTATAAATATATTTTATTGATTTTTTACAGAGAGGAAGGGAGAGGGATAGAGAGTTAGAAATAGAAACATCGATGAGAGAGAAACATCGATCAGCTGCCTCCTGCTACTTTTCACAGGGGATGTGCCCTCAATCAAGGTACATGCCCTTCACTGCACTCGCCCCTTCCGACCCTTGTGTCCGCAGGGTGAAGCGCCTTTACAGTTGACCCAAACCGGTTGGGGCGATAGCCGGAACTTTTATCTCAGTTCAGTATAGACAATACATGAGAGGAAAAACAAATCCTTTGTTTGGACGTACCCAATCAATTCTTTCCTGCTTTTGTTTGTTTCTCCTCACTTTCCTCCGAGCAAGGGAGTGGGAGGCAAGATAGATAAATTACCGATGGGAAAAGGAAAGAAGGAAGGAAGGATGGAATGAAGGAAGGAAGGAAGGAAGGAAGGAAGGAAGGAAGGAAGGAAGGAAGGGAGGGGAAACGAAACGAAACGAAACAAAACATCAATGATGAGAGAGAACCACTGACTAGCTGCCTCCTCCACAACCTCTATTGGGGATTGAGCCCGCAACCCAGGCATGTGCCCTGACTGGGAATCCAACCATGACCTCCTGGCACTCAATCTAGAGCCACATCAGCCGGGTCACAATTATTTCTTCTTTCTAGTTAATGACTAAGGGTAGTAGCCACTTATGAATTCACAAAAGAAACAGGGCAATGGAAAGAATTTAGGACTCTTAAGGCCTATAACAATATGAACATTCCCCCTGAAATTATGAAAGATAATAAAAAATAATCATGAGAGCATTACAAACTTTTAGATGAATAGATCAATATTTTAAGCATGAAACAAAAATAGAAAATAAAAATATATCTAAGGCCCTAACCGGTTTGGCTCAGTGGATAGAGAGTCAGCCTGCGGACTCAAGGGTCCCAGGTTCGATTCCGGTCAAGGGCATGTACCTTGGTTGAGGGCACAACCCCAGTAGGGAGTGTGCAGGAGGCAGCTGATCGATGTTTTCTAACTCTCCTATCCCTCTCTCCCCTTCGTCTGCTGTAAAAAACACCCAATAAAATATATGTAAAAAACAAACACACACACACACACACACACACACACACACACACATATATATACACATATATGTATATATATATATATATATACACATATATGTATATATATACATATATATATATATGAAAACATTAAAATTAAAATTCATTGATAGACACAGAATTAAAAAATAAAATCATCACAACCTAAATGTTACAAGACTAACAATATGCCACAATAGTGAAAGTATGAAAAAAGGCATAAGGGCTATAAATTAGTAAAATTCTGGGTGGAAGATTACACCTGATTTAAAAGCACCAAAACACAGCATGTAAATGATAATCCCACTTATAAAACTTATGTCTGAGTGGAGTATATGTGACCTGTGTGGTAACATTTAAAAAGTAACTCCTCATTTATAATGATTATAAATGGCTAATAGAAATCAGGTGGTCTTTAATCTCATTATTGTGTTCTATGTTGTCTAAGCTTTCTATTTACTCATGTAAGCACTTTATCAACAGAAAAAAGATCACTATTTCATTTTGAAAAATAAAAGGGACATGTAAGACATAGTTTCTGTTAATAACATGCAACAGATTTTAAAAACTTTGTATGACACACTCTATTCCTAATCAGCATGAGGTATGCCATGTCCTATGATAGTCTTTTCCTTTCAAATGACAAACTATTCATAAAAAAACATTTTTATTTTGGAAACAAAATATTTAGGGTGATAGTGACAGAAGAAACTTAAACCACAAAAGCACACTGTAAAAAGAGGTTTCTAGCTAAGTGTCATTAAAAGACACTCATTTAACATAATACTTCATAGAAATAAATGAATAAAACATCTGAAAGATTTTTAGAATGAGCCAATACTGATTATTTGTGCAATAATAGAAAGAAAAAGTAGTAATAACCTCCCCAAAATAACAAGACTCATGGTGCCTAAAAGTATATTCCCTTATAAACTAAACCACATCATAGTCGGCTTAAGATGACATGCTACCAATTGTCACCCCAACAAATTTAATAAAATAAAATTTTTTTTAAAAAGGCCCAGCCAGCATGGCTTAGTGGTTGAGCATCAACCACTAAGATAAGAAATTCGTTCTCATCATTCTCCTATGAATGAGGAGATCATGGTTCAATTCCCAGACAGGGCACATGCCTGGGTTGCAGGCTCGATCCCCAGTGTGGGGCATGCAAGAGGCAGCCAATCAATGATTCTCTCACATCATTGATGTTTCTACCTCCCTCTCCTTCCTCTCCCTTCCTCTCCGAAATCAATAAAAACATATTTTTTTTAAAAAGATGACTTCATGATCTTAAAATATTGTTATGTGATAGTAACTCACCCTCTGAAGCTCTGCATCCGGATCCGGATGCCCTTCTGCCAGAAGTCGCTGCCTGATTTCCTCTAGCTCTTCCTTCTCTCTTTTCCTATCCCGTTCATCTGCTTCCATTTCCTTTTCCCTGTCACGCAATCTTTTCTGAAGAGCACTTCCTCTGCAAAAGAAATCGTAACAGGCCTTATTTAATACTCAGACCATCAATTATTGCACATGATGTCTCCAAAAGCACTTTCTTTCAATACTAAAACTGCATTCTAAAAGACTAAAGACCCTTAATGTTCTGTATCTGCAGACATTGTGATCTCTACGTGTTACTATTTAATAAGTGAGCATTGTCTTGTCACTTATAACCATGCCTCATTGTTAAGTCATTCTAAATAAGTATCTAATTCAAGCAGAAAAGTAGCTTTCAGAGAAAAAGGAAGTTCTCATTTTGTGCCTATTCCACAGGGAAATCCCAAAACATAACCTATGTTTGCTTGGATGCTAAGCTGTGAAAAATTAACACAAGAAGTAATAATAATAGATCTGTATCTTCAATTAAAATAAATGATTTCCCTGCGGAAAAAAGTACTAGTACAGAATCAATAGAAAGCAGAGGTTCTCTCCATATAGCACTTTATTATACCTCAGAATGTTGAAATTATACACTGCTATTTTATGATTCAAAAATTTCACTTTTTTGCATTTTCCAAATAATCAAATTCTTGAAATTCTTTCCATTTAATTTGCTAATTCTGATGTTTTAGCGCCTGAATATTAAGCTTACCTACATATTAAATGCCTTCACTACATGTCTGGATCATATGAGACACACGAGAGATTTTTCAAAAATAAAAATATTGACCCCTATCTTCAGGGAAATTATAGTCTGGAGTACAGGGAGCCAAACAAAACCAATTTTACCACCATGCCATAAGTGCTAGAATGAAAGTAGTTCAGACACACTGTGGAAAACAAAGAGAAGAGGGAAGGCAAAGAATTCACCAACTCTCACTTCACAATAATATATCAATTGGTTGGGAGAGGAGGATGGAAGGGTGGTTCAGATTACTGTGTGGCATTCTTTAAATCCTTGAAGAAAATAATTTCTAAACCACTCCAGACAGTCATAAAGATCAATTATAACTTGCTATAAAAACTGAACCTCTTTAAAATACATGAAGAAAAATTTGTAATACTATATTATCCCCCCTCACCCCCCCCCCCCCCCCCCCCCTAAATATATATAAATGTTTGTCCTTTTGTGAATAGATGTGTCCCACATGGGCGTATACCTCTCTATATATATATAT